ATAACATTCAACTCTGAGATGATTCTTCTCTACCACCACCCCTTATCCAGGCAGAAGGGACCCCTCTCCTGTGTCTCCACAGTGCAGAATCACCCAGACGCCAGCCCACTTCCCACAGCATGATAGATCCTTCAGTGTCAAGACAAGTCTAATTCTTATTTGGGTTCTGGGTGCCTAACTCAATGTCTGGTGAATATTAGGGGTTTGAGAAACGTTTATGGAAAGAATGACCTCATGGCTACAGTCTCCCACTGGCCCTACCAACTTAACCTAGTCAAACCAATCAATTTTGTCCTTTCTTCCCTCCCTCCCCATCCCCTTCACCTGGTGACCTTGGAGTGGCCAATTGGCACAGAGCTCACAGGGAACTGAATGGTGTTTTCCCTCTGGTGTGCTCAGCTGGAGGCAGGCAAAACAGGCATCTCTGCAGGTAGTGAGTGGGCCTTGCCGAGGAGCAGCTGCTCTGTGCAACCTCTGGGCCTCCTGCAAATCAGACTCATCGCCTTCACTTCCTGTGCTCACGGAGATTAGATACTGCCTAATCTACACCAGTTTTGGTTTTTTTTTCCTCTTAATATTTGAAACTACCAACTACCAGTTGCCATCCTAGTGGGTGGCTTTCAGAAATCCCCTCTTTTCTGGTGTTTGACTTCTAAGATTCAAGAAACTAGTCTATTTGGAAAGAACCTGCACTGAAAAGTTCTTTGAATTGCCGTGAAGCACTGGCAGGAAGTGACTTGGGATCTGGGTTACAGTCTTGTTTCACTCCCAGGAGAGGTGGGAGTAATGAGGTATAGTTGCATCTGGGTGTGGCTGTATCTTTACATCACACCAGTGGCCAATTCTCATGCGTGGCCAGTTTTTTTTTTTTTAAACGATTTATTTATTTATGCATACAAGAGCTGGGGTACAGGCCAGAGGTGTGGGGGGTGAGAGGATTCACCAGAGACAGAGTGGGGAACAGAACAGGCAGACTGACTGAAATACACTGCTGAGGGGGAGTAGAGGGCAAGATAGGAGAGGTCTGCTGCGCCATGTGGGTTGCTCCCTGGCCGGCCGGGGATCTCATGCTGCAGAGGCTGTGGATTGCTTCATAGTGTGGTGCTTAACTCCTTGCGCCACCAGGGAGGCCCTGTGGCCAGTTTTAAAGATGGTGGCTGATAGGAAATCAGAGGATGCATTTTAAACTGGCAAGGGTCTAAGCACACTGGTGGTGCACCTGGGGAAGGTTCAGTATTCTCTTCTTACATGATGAATGTGTGAATATGCACTACTGAGCCATGATATGGTATAATTGTATTTCCTTTATATTGACCATTTTAATTCCCCTAAAATTAATGTACCATTTAAAAATTGTACTTGGTTGTTCTCAAACTCTGACAGAAGTGTCAATTTCCTCTCACTATGATGGAGTATATCAGGTAAATCTTCATTTCCTTTCAGTTTTTTCTTTTTCATGGTGATATTCCTCCTGTATGCATTTGTCTTCCTGCTCCAACCTAGACCGATGTGTAAATAATGCAACAAAGCTGTCATTCTGACAAGGTGTCTGCCCATCCTATTTGTAGAATCCTATCCATTTTTCAGAATGCTTCCATGTCACAATTTCCTTGTGAGGTCGTTGAAAGGGCAAGAGTTTTAGATGGGAGAAGGCCAAGCACAGGGGAGTTGTTAGGTAAAAGTTATACAGGAAGAGGCAGAGGAGGCTAAAACTGGGCTCTTCTCTCAGCCTTAGTCTCTCTATAGGAGGCCATAGTGCCCCCTGCAGCTTGGCGTAAGTGACCATTTTGCACTGGTCAGGTTAAGTTCAAAAGTTTAAAGAATGCAAAACCTCTACGGAATGCAGGGTGGCAGGATTTGATCCACATTCCCACACTCCTATCTCACTTCTTTCATAAGTGGAAGGTATGGTTGAGCATTAGACTTTGATCATACTTCCTGTGTCTGCCAAGAGTGGTTAGGGAATCTGAAGCCAGTCATATAATCTATGCCTTAATTTCCTCATTAGTAAAATGAGAGTGTTACCTCATAGTCATTCAAAGATTTAATGCCATAATATTTCAAAAGGCACATCCTAAAAATGCTTAGTAAATATTAAACACTTTTATAATCATGGTCTAGAATTTCCCAGAAGACAGTAATGCTTTTACCATTGGATCTCAGTTCTTAGCTCTCCTCAAGTTCCTCCTGGACAATATTGGGCTATTATATGAGAGCTTATGTACAATAGAAATTTCAAAATGAGTAATTTATGCATCTCGGTTAAATGACTTTTGGTTAATATATACGTCATTCTTCAGTTTAACCCCAGTTCACCCTCTAGGGATAGATGATATCCCTTGGCCAACTGAGGTCACAAACCAAAACTAAAACAAACACCATTCAAATGTCTCAATTCTTGCTTTTTGCTGATTTGGGGTTTTTGCTTTTTTTTAAAAAAAACTATCAATTGATGCACAGATGTTAAAAAATTTTTTGGCAAGATGTTTCCTTTGGAGAAAGGAATAATTCATCTATTTCTTACTACAATCATTTCAGTACTGTTTGTCCTAACAGTTTGCAGTATAGCACAGATGATTAAAGGAAGATGAACCAAGTTTGAGATGAATTTCTTGGATAGAACATCTAATGCCGTGGTGTATTTCAGTAGGTCTGCCTGTTCTGCTCCTCACTGTCTCTGGTGAATCCTCTCACATCGTTCCCCCACCCCACCTCTGGCCAACACCCCAGTTCTTCTACGCATAAATAAATCTTAAAAAAAGAAGGAACTTTTGACACTGTGTATCCAAAATTTTAGGTCATTACTCAGGAGAGATAGTGAAATCACAACTAGCACTTAACAAGAAATAAAACAACCTATCAACCTGTATTACACTTGGTAGTAAAGTGTTTTATGAAATTTAATTTGTGTGTGGTTATAGATACACACACATCCATGTATGTATATGTGTGGCATGTAATGTAAAATGTGTTTCTTACAGTAATAGTTGAAAAAAACTGAAAATCATATCTTAATGATTTTCACATTTAGTTTGCCTCGAAATGTTGTTAGTTTCTTTGTCATGCCTCTTTTCTAGATAATCAAAAACCAACTAACCAAACAGAACTCATGCATTTTCCGCTTTAGCACTTTCTGGGTACCCAGGACTTTTGCTACTACTGAAACTTTACAACCTTGTTAGGAGAAATAACTGCGTATTATAATAGTAATTGGAAATGTTAAAAGGCACAAGTAACATGTTGGCCATGGTATTATGGAATGCTTTAGTGGACATTAGGCCCAAGTTTTCAGTTATCAGAGAATGGGTTAGAAGAATGTCTTTTTAAGGTCTAGTAAGTAAATATTAGGTTGGATTACATGACTTAGTTTTTAGAGCATGTGCTTTAAATTTTTTTTTTTTATAGAGGCATGTTTTATTTATTTATTTGTTTGTTTGTTTTGTTTATACAAGCACTGGGTACAGTCAGAAGCACAGGAGGGTGAGAGAATTCACCAGAGCCAGAGCAGGGAGCAGAGCAGGCAGAAGGACCGAAGTACACTGCTGAGGGGAGCAGCGGGCGGCAGGAGAGGTCTGCACGCCATGTGGGACCCTCCTCCGGTGGCCGGGGAGCAGCCGGGGATCGAACCGGTGCCGCAGAGGCCGCGGGCAGCTTCGCAACCCAGCGCTCAACCGCTGCGCCACCGGGGAGGCCCTAGAGCATGTGCTTTAAAAGCAATAAATCCATTTTGCCTTTTATACCTTAATGCATTCAGATCCAAGAACTCATTATTTACCCAGCATAGCATAGTAAATGTGTTCAAGTTACATCTTAGGAACGAGTTGCTCGGAAATTCACACACCAGAGGTGGTCAGCTGGCAATGCAATCAGAAAGCTCACTCTTCATAAGTGACTGCTAAGAAGTCCTTCTGTTATCCATAGTTCAGTATACACAGTAAGCTTTACTAATTAGCTTAACAAATGGCAAATAGCGCCTCCCTGGTGGCACGCAGGGGTTAAAGACAGCACTATCATGCTATTGCCAGCCACTGCAGCACAAATTCGATTCGCTGGCAGGCCAGGGATAAAGACTCTTGCTGCTCTGGCTGCGGATAGCTTCATAGTGCTCAGACTTAACTCCTTGCACCACCAGCGAGACCCCTTTGCAAATAATCTTAATGATATAGCGACAAGTTCTTGTGAATTCAGATGTGGATTAACATGAACATAGCAAGCTCTGTAATTTATGCTTGCATAGCCAGCCAGGCCTCGCTGCTAAATGGACCTCTGCTGGACATTAGTGGAGGATTCTGGTCTCCTAATGTTCACCACAAAGATGCAGAATTTTGTTCCCAATACTTGAGGCAGATGCTACCACTGTTGCTACTGCTTGCTAAAAATGTTTAATAAGTGATTCTGCAAGGCAAACTGAGTCTGAGCTGGTTTTTTTTTTTTTTTTTTTTTTAAGGAGGACTGACTGAAATACACTGCTAGAGGGAGCAGCGGGTGAGACAGGAGAGTATAGCTTCCGGGTTTTGAATGGGATAGTCTGGATATAGGTACTGGGCATGGGGGATTAGGCACAAATGCTTTTTAGCTCTCCAGATGATTCTGATGCCTGTTTTAGTTCAGAACCACCGATCAAGTCTGAGCACTCTATTTTATAAAGAAACTAAAACCCAGAGATTTGAAGTGAGTCATTCAAGACTCACTGCTAATTAATGGTAAAAAGGTACTATTGTGTTTCCTATTATATAACAGCGATTTTCACATTTCTGAAAATACTACTATAACCTCAATTCCACTGACACAGCCTTTGCACTATACATAATTAAAATACACATTTTTTTGAGCTGTGTTTTTCTATCAGGCAGGTAGTGGCTATCTGCCAAAAAGAACCTGAACGGTAAGTGGCCAAACTGGCTGTCAGTTTGAAAAATAACCAAGTAAAGATGTCTGGCACTTTTGAATTACTCTCAAATAATATCAGTCAATCATCAACACCTATTTATCAAAGCACTTTTATTTGATTACTTATTCCAGACAAATAGTGAGGTTTGTGTGTACAACTAATAAGACAATCCAAATAAAAGACAGGAAAAAAAATAACTATACAAACAACTATCTAGGAAAGAATGGCAGTTGCATTCATTTTATATAATACTGTGGAGTGATGTAGCACCATTTACCTCAAAGAGAGCCAACATACTTCATAAGATAATGAGTTTTGTGTAGCAGTAGCTTAAAAATGATAGCTAGGTAGTTTGATAACCTTATGTTCAACTAATCTCAAATATAAAATTATCAGAAAAATTATTTCAGGACAAAAATAGGGAATTTGTAAAGAATGCAACCTTGCACAATTAAAAAACAAATCCTAGAAAAATAGTTACCATCATTGAGACTGGTTTTCTTCCATTATCTGAATTATTTATCACTATATCATGAACTAAGTTCTAAGTTTTGGAAGATTTAACAGTTCATTATTTAAACACACACAAACTTTATTAAATTGCTTTTTAAACTAAAGTTCTATTTATTGGTCTGTTCAGTCTGCTCTGCTCTGAACCACAACATGGAGGAACAAGACAGAACTGTTAACACTACCGAAATCAAAAGATTAGGATTTTAAATGATTTCTGTTTCTTTTTTCCCTTTCTAATGATCATGCTAAGCTATCTACTCTGATCAATCTTAGGTTGAAATTTGTTGAGCACAACTTTGACCCTGCTAATGAATCTAAGTTAACATGAGAACATTTATAAATCCATTAGTAAATATTTTTCCAAATATTGGTGACATTTCATCTGAAATATATAAAGAAACTTTAAGATAAATTGGAGATCTGTTTGAGAATCTTCCATCAGCCTACCTTGCTAGTTAAAAGTGAGTATATTTTCAGAAATATACTACAGAAAAATCATAGAGAGAAAATTCCAGAGTCTAGGATTATTCAATCCTGGAAAGCTGTCGTTCCTAACCCCCTTTTTTTTTAAAAAAAAAAAAAGCAAATAAACAAAAACTTCTTACAATACATTCACAAACGATTCCCTTAGGTTTTATGATTTCCAAGTGAGAATTCCTATTTCAAAGCTGTGGGGTACAGTGGAAAATAAGTTTAGCATGTCAACATTGCCCATCTTTATTTAATTGCTTTAAGTATTTTAACGTCACTAAATTGTTGCCTTAAGACAAAGTTACTCTTATTGTATCAATACAGTCTTTTAAAATTCATTTTTCCCACCTAAGTTTTATAATGTTTTAAGTCATGTCCCTGTCTTTGAAATAATGGTTAAGTCCCTATGTTTAAACGAGCAGATTTTCTTTGGTTATATTCTATTTTTTAGTCAGTCATTGAAAAATGAGCATATTAAAATTTAACATGCCCGTGTGAAAATGAACATATGTTTACATTTTGAAGGTTATCTGACTTTATAAAATATAGTTTCACACTTGAAAAACACATCTACTTAGTGCTTCTGAACATGACATACAATCTCAGACCATACCTTTCTCTTTTACTTACTTGGAAACAGAACAGTGAAGGTCTCCTACTATGGTAACAAAATGTACTGAAAAATCAAAACACTGCCATTTGTGACCAAGCCCACCATCTCAAAAGCATTTCATAACTCTCCCTCCAGTTACCAAATAGGTTGAGGAATGCTATCTTTGAAAAGTCTAATGTTGAGCCACTGACCACGTCTTAACACCATGTTCAATAGGCTCTTAAAACAAGAGAAATGACTACACATAACAGTTAGGCTTATTGCTTTCTTATTAAAGGAAAACTCCATTAGTCACTCTAAGAATCTGTTTATATAATAACGTAAACATGGATGTATAGGGAATCCTAGAAAAAACTTTGAAGACTGAGAAACAGGGGATAATAGGTAGGTATTAAATACAGAACTGCAAACACATTTCACATATAAAATCTAATCAAATCCCTTACTAAATATGTTTTCAAAGTTTGAAGTTATAATTATTCAGTCTTTGTAAGAACTCACCTTGGCTCATATAGAGTAGTATTTGTAGAACAAATCTCAAAGTATTTGAATAAAGGAATATTGTCAGTTAAGAGAAAGCTTTCCAAAGAACCTACAACTTGGTTGTTATATAAGTCTGTCTTTTGCTATGTGAAAAGTGAATGGTACAATAATTTTTTCCTTGTTCTTCTTTACTTCTAAGAAGTTCTCCTTTATGAAATTTAAACATCAGAATTTCCATTTCAGAGACCTCGGGGTCAGAAAACAGGAGTGGGAGAAGAAAGATACTACTCTCTGACCATCAGAATTTAATTATTTCTACTTAGTGGTAAAATGTTTGCAAGACAAAAAATGGACTGCTATTACTCCATGGCTAAATGGTACCCCATGAATCCTATAAAACAATACACAACACTATTTTTCCAGTACTATTTAAATGTACCATTTTGTGTTTTCCCATCTCACTAACTGGTGAGTGAAAGCAAAAAAGGTAATACATACCAGCATTCCTGGCTGTGCAATCTATACATTTTAATAATAATTCAAGCATAATCTATATTTAAAAAAATTAGACTAAAGAGAGACAGTAAAGTTTTTAAAGTTTTCTCTTTGAAAAGATGGTATCTTACAGTACATACAAAAATACTCTGAAAATACATACGACTTCATTTACAAAACACTGAATCAACATATTACAAGAAGAATTACATGGTCATGGATTTTAATAAACTGAGCATGCGTTCATGAAACTTAAAAAATATTAAGAAATGCACTGAAAAAAGCAGTGTAAAAAATGACAACTCATATAGTTAAATAAAAATTACAAAGGTCCTGAGCCAATTCATGGTTGGTAACAATGTCATTCAAAAATGCCTTTAGGTTTCAGTAAAATCCACTGTTTATTTCTGCATGCCTAGTTCATGAAGAAACTGTTTGAAGTTGTGGGGCAAGTAATGGTCAGGTATTATCATGCCAAGTTATTTTACACCTCAAAAATACAAGTTTGCCATAAAGGTATGTTATTGTTGACGCTGGAATGAATTGCTCATCAGTAAAAAATACCAGTCAACTAACAAGAATGGCATGAGACAGGATATGTAACAATTTCACCATTCATATACTGACTTTCAGTATCCTGGTTATATTTTGATTCTTAATAAAGATGCATTTCGAAGGCCTCCATGGGAGGCAAAATATAGAGAATTTATGGTGCCCAACTCTTATGTAATCACTGGACTAATCCTCCCTGGTAGCTATGCAACATCTGGACAGAAAGGCACAAAAAATAAAAATTTAAATATTCTATGTGCCAATCTGGAAAAAATAATTTAAATCAACAGAACAGACATTAAGTACATTTACACAAGTGAGAAAAACAGAAAAGATACCTCACATTCATCTCAGGTTTCACAAAGTGGCTTCAACACTAAAGTAAATGTGTTACAGATGGAAAATAACAAGACATTTTTTTTTTGTTTTCAACTTTTTCAGTTTTATACAATGATTAAACATAAGACTTTAAAAAATAAACAAAAAAAAGTTCAGGATTTCCTTAAATCAGTGTCCAAGTAGCCAAGAACTGGTTCCCATAAGAGAAACAAGCATCGAAAGTTAAGGCAATAAAACCTCCAACGCAAAGCCATAATATTGTACATGACAATTTGATAGAGGTGATCCTCAGAGAACTGTATGTAGCAACCAATGAGAGAATGCTACAGCATCTGCAGGTCAAAGTGTGAGAGTTCAAAAACCACTTCAAGGTTGTTAGGCTGATGACTGTAACTTTCACCTTATTTTATGTATGACAACCACTTCTATTTAAAAAAAAAAGTGGTTACATCTATGCCACTAAATGATTGCATATTCACTTCAGTGAGGCAGCACTGCTTTTACCGATTGAGGGTCAGTCGAATAGAATTTTTGATGACACGGATTTTGTTTGCTGGAACTGGAGATGATGAATCTGGTAGTTCTTTACTGGGTAGTCTCTAATACAGAGAAACAGAGAAGGAAAAGCCATTGTATGTTATAAAGGTCCAACTAGTAAATCAGCCACAAACTTGAATTTTCTCCAAATCCTTTAAGTTCTAAACACTCAAACTGAATATTGAATATTTTCCATCAGGTGACTTTTTTTCCCCCTTTTAAACAGAGGTGAAAAGCAGAGGGAGCGCTTTGGAAAAAAGGAGTAGAAGTTGGAGCAGTGTTAAGTATAGGAAAGAGGACTTTGTTAAATCAATTGCTGCTCTGGACTAAGAAATGTATAAAGAATATATATAGTCCTCGGGCCTCCCTGGTGGTACAAGGGGTTAAGCACAGCACTATGAAGCTATCCGCACCTCTGCAGCACGAGTTCGATCCCTAGCCTGCCAGGGAGTAACCTATATGGCGCAGCAGACCTCTCCTGTCTCGCCCACTGCTCCCCTTAGCAGTGTATTTCAGTCAGTCTGCCTGTGCTAATCCCCGCTCAGTCTCTGGTGAATCCTCTCACCCCCCTCCCTCCACACCTCTGGCCTGTACCCAATTCTTGTATGCATAAATAAATAAATCTTTAAAAAATATATATATAGTACTCAAAGTCAGCCAATGGTAAAGAGAAACAAGAAGCACATAGGTCATTAAACAGGAAACTTTTAGGATATCAAGTGAAAGATATGTGTGTGTTATAGAGGAAAACATGATATACAGATAGTTACATGAATGGAAACACTATGTTTCTTGTCAAGAGATGACTGCAAAAGTTAAATCTCTGGTACACTGACTAAATAAATACCTGTATCATACCAACAATTTAAAAATCATGGAAAATTTCAGACATATATAAATGTGAAAAATAGAACAATGAAGACTTAATGCCACAACCCAAGATTCAGACATTAAAATTTGCCATGTTTGGCTTATTCTTTTATGCACAAGGCAGACATTTCATTTCACTCTTTCATACTTTAATATACATATCGAATTAATTTTATTCTATCATCACATATTTATACCCATATACTTTGTAACCCACTCTTACATTAGAAGAGAAATTTCACAAATTCTACAATAATAGAAAATTTGAAGGTACATTCTATTTTGTTTTAGAATGGGCAATAAAGCCTAGGGAAACTGGCATGGTAATGACTGTGATGAGAAGCACTTTGTTCTTTAATGAGGGGTAAAAATAAGGCTGTTTACTAGAAACTCTCAAAGAAGGGCTTTCTCTCAATTATACAAGTCTGACTGTTGAGCAACTACTTATTAGCTTACCATGCTTAATACTACTATATTATTAGCTTCAATGGCAAGTCTTTGAAAAAAAATTTTTTTATTGAGGTTTAGGGACTATTTTTTTTTTTTAAGATTTATTTATTTACGCATACAAGAACTGGGGTGTAAGCCAGAGGTGCGGGGGGAGAGGGGGATGGTGGTGAGAGGATTCAACAGAGACAGAGTGAGGAGCAAAACAGGCGGACTGACTGAAATACACTGCTGAGGGGAGCAGCAGGTGAAACGGGAAGAGGTTTGTTGCGCCACGTGGGTCAGCTGCCTGATGGGGATCAAACTCTTGCTGCAGTAGCTGCGGATAGCTTCACAGAGCTGAGCCTTGTGCCACCAGGGAGTCCCAGTTGAGGGACCCTTGATGCTTAAGTTTTAAAAGTACTTTAGTACATACACCACTACATTTTGGCTTATCCAGAATACTAGTAAGTATGGCTCCTAACTATTGATTTTGACAGTAAGCAGTGACACACAATTCTGACCAATACTATTAAGAATTGGTCATACATCTTTACAGACACATCACCCAAAGCAGTGATAGTGAAGGCAAAGATAAACAGCTGGGACTACATCAAATTAAAGAGCTTCTGCACAGCAAAAGAGACAATAACAAAAACAAAGAGAAACCCCACCAACTGGGAGAACATTTTTGCACCCAACACTAATGATAAAGGACTGATCACAAAAATCTGCAAAGAGCTGATGAGACTCAGCAACAACAAAGAAAATAATCCAGTCAAAAAATGGGCAGAAGAGCTAAAAAGAAACTTCTCTGAAGCGGAAATGCAAATGGCCAACAGACATATGAAAAAATGTTCAACATCACTTGTAATCAGGGAAATGCAAATCAAAACTACCATGAGATACCATCTTACACCAGTGAGAATGGCACATATTAAAAAAACTAGCAACAACAAATGTTGGCGAGGGTGTGGAGAAAAAGGAACTCTTCTGCACTGTTGGTGGGAGTGCAAACTGGTCCAACCACTATGGAGAGCTGTGTGGAGATTTCTGGACCTACTAAACATAGAGCTTCCATATGATCCAGCAATTCCACTCCTAGGTATTTACCCAAAGGACACAGAAACATCAATTCCAAAGAACACCTGCACCCCTATGTTTATAGCAGCACTATTTACAATAGCTAAGCTTTGGAAACAGCCCAAAGTGCCCAAAAATAGATGACTGGATCAAGAAGATGTGGTACATATACACCATGGAATATTACTCGGCATTCAAAAAAGATAAACACATGCAATTTGCAGCAACATGGATGACGCTGGAAGGGATCATGCTCAGCGAAATAAGCCAAAAAGAAAAAGAAAAATACCGGATGGTCTCACTCATAGCAGGAATCTAGAAAACTTAAATAAGGGACCAGGAAAATGAATATAAGAAAGTGAAAATCAAAATCAACAAAAAACTATGAACCAGAGACACTTTTTGGGGGGTGGGGGGCGGGAGGGGAGGGATTGGGGTCAGAATGGGGCGTTTGCAATTGTATGGGGGAATATAAAAATAAAATTTATTATTTAAATTAAAAAAAAAAGAAATAAATCCAAATATATATGATATCAGCATGCATATAAACAGAAAAAACTCATCTGTTAAAAGATGAGTTTGGAATAACAACAACAAATTCAGCTATATGCTGGTTAATAAAATTTGAGTATAAAGTTAAAAAAAAAAAAAAAAGAATTGGTCATAAATTACTGTGCTGAGCACTAAATTGCTCTTCAAAAAATAAAACCCTAGAGGTTGAACATAATCTCACTAAATTTTCAACTTTCATACTACTTCCTTTTCTAAACTTTTGAGGTACATATATTTAGAATCATATAGTTTGTTCGCTACTTCTATCCTCAACTGCCAATTTTACTTCTGGTCTGAGGATGGGCAAAATATTACTCTTTTTCTTCATCCAATGTTAGACTTTCAAATAAGCTTTTTGTATGTGAAGATTATCTATGAATTTTAACTTATGTGTTTTATCTATGAAAAAGACTGTTGGGCCTCCCTGGTGGCACAAGGGGTTAAGTGTCAGTACTATGAAGCTATCAGCAGCCACTGCAGTTTGATTCTCGGCCAGGGAGCTCACCCACATGGTGCAGCAGACCTCTCCTGTCTCACCCACATTTCCCCTCAATGGTGTATTTCAGTAAATCCACTTGTTCTGCTCCCTATTCTGTCTCTGGTTAATCCTCTCACCCCCATCACTTCCCCTGCCCCCTGCTCATCACCTCTAGCCTACACCCCAGCTCTTGTATGCATAAATAAAGTAAACCTTAAAAAAAATAGGGAAAGAAAAAGACTTACCTTTTTGCGTGATGTATCAATAGTTGGAATAGGCATACATTCTCCTCCTATGGCATCCTAAAAACAGAAGCATTATATGGAAGTGAAAACTTTCTTTCTGACATGCAAATTTATTTTTATATGAATTAAAACAGAACCAAAGCATGACAGATCTAATCTGATCCACTTTGGAATACAGCATAAAGCTCCTTAAAAGTATTTTAAAGCACACTATTAATATATTTACCATTGATTTCCTTTTTCTATCTTCGGTAGCACGTGAGTCCTTAAATGTTGACTCAAGTTGAATAAACTAAAAATGTAAACATTACAATGAGTTGCTATTATGTACCACAAAACCATACAAATACATATAAACTGAGAAAACTAGTCATTAGGCTATCATTAAAAACTATCAAAACATGGTTGGTGAGTGAAGAGAATTTAAATTACATTGAATTCAACTGTTACCCTTAAATTCTACAATTTGGGTGACCTTTTTGGTTAAATCAATTCAGATTATAATAAATAGTTTTACCACCACCTACTGGAGGCAGAGGAAATTAACAATAATACGATTATTAGGTTACCAATAATGACTGTGTGTAGTGTAAGACAAAAAGAAACTTAGACCAATCATTCAAGTTTTCAGACACATTAGTAATCTGAATTTAGGATGAACAATTACTATTGTTCCTTTAAGGTCTGGGTAAATAATCTTATTAAATAGAGGTCAATGGAATAAGATGGTCATAGCGAGTTGTTTGTTTAGTACTATTTTAATTTTTAAAAAATCAGTTACTGAATTACCAAGTAAGTCATAATTTACCTTTTCTATGTCTTTCAACCTCTTAGAAGACCCATCTATGGATGGGGAATGGGATCTCTTTGTTGTAATATTCTTAGTTATATTTGACATTCCATTTAGATGTGGTTGTCCCTGGGCAGGATTATGGGGTGTTGTGATTCTAGGAATGACATTTCGTCCTACTACAGTAGGAATTGTGCACACAGCTGGGGGTGATACAGTTTTTACTACAGAGTCAACTTCTGAAATGAAAAAAAAAAAAAAGTTACTTTTATTTTTAAAATTTTATTAGCCTCCACCAAACCACCTGTGCCCTACCCCATTTTAAGTATAGTTATGTATATTTACAGTAGAATCATTAACAATAAAAGTTTAGATACCTACTTGCACCAATGACTGGAATAGACAGACCTTGAGCTGGTGGGACACCCAGTGGCTTTTCCAGAATTACAACAGCAGACTCAGGACTATTCCTATTAAAAGTATTAAGTTATCATTAAGTGATTTAAATACTACTCATTTAAAAACACTTATTTTAACATTTAGAATCACTTCTTTCGAGTACTCCTATTTTAACATTTCATGGAAGAAAAAGGAAAAAAAGTAAAAGACCAAAGTGTGGATTAAGAGAAAAAAATTAAAGAGTATCTGTGCATTTCTGTGTATTTATTTAATCCCACATATTCATAATCATATACTATGTCCCACAGGATCACTACAAATTGCCAAGTATTTCTAAACAAGAAGCTGACTAGCAAATGATAAAACTTTTCAACAATTAAAAAAGGAATTTTGCAAAGGTATACAAAAGTTTACATTATCTTCAAATAATGTAAGACTGAAAGGACAATTTTTAAATACCGACCTTTCTGCTTCTCCTGCAGAAGGATTATCAGGTTTGGAAGGTTTGTTTGTAGACACTGGAGAATTAAAAGGTGTTCCATTATCAGTATCTCTGGAGCTATCTAAACAATTGCTATCCAGAGATGATCTTTTGGATTGAAGTCCACTGGAACTCCGACTGACATCAGAAAGACTTTGCTGAGAGAGAGAGAAATCTTTGAAATCTCAGGATTTCAAAACAAAGAAATAATGGTTTCAATTCTAAAGAACATATAAAACAGTTCTTTTGAATTAATGAAGTTGATATTTTAGTCTTAGACTGAACTAGCTATATACCTTTCCTCTTTCCACTCAATAGCTTTAGATTATAACTAACAGTTTTACCACCACCTGCTGGAGGCAGAGGAAATCAACATTATAATACAGTAAATACGATTATTAGGTTACCAATAATGACTATGTGTAGTATAAGTCAAAAAGAAACTTAGACCAATCATTCAAGTTTTCAGACACATTAGTAATCTGAATTTAGGATGAACAATTAATATTGTTTCTTTAAGTTTTGGGTAAATAATCTTATTAAATAGTTAGAATGCAAATTTAATGCTAGGATCACTTATAAACCACATTGGACAGTTAAGATTATGAACTTACCTTTTTCTTCTTTTGAAGAATCTCTGCTGGTAGGTAATGATGAAGCTGTTTTTTTTTAACATGAGTTGCTTCAATTTTCATTCCCTCTTTTAGCATGTTTATATTGTTTGCTTGTCTGTACACTGTAACAATGTCAATATGTTAAGTGGGAAACTTCTATCTCAACTAAGGGCTCTGTTTTCTTTTTCTAAATACGTGCATTTTCAACATCTCCCATCACTACATACACACCCTCTTACAGAACAAGTATTTCTAAAACATTTTCACATGTCACAATCATATTCAAGTAACAACTGGTTTTCTCATTTCCAACTTCTAAGACTTTCTTTTTTTAAGATTTATTTATTTATGCATACAAGACTGGGGTACAGGTCAGAGATGCAGAGGGTCAGAGGATTCACCAGAGACGGAGTGGGAACAGAACAGGTGGGCTGACTGAAATACACTGCTGAGGGGAGCAGCGGGCGAGACAGGAGAGGTCTGCTGTACCATGTGTACCATGTCCCTGGCCAGGGATTGAACTTGTGCTGCAGTGGCTTCGGATAACTTCGTAGGTTGTATCCTAACCCCTTGTACCAGCAGGGAGGCCCCTAAGACTTTCTTATAATTAAATCTCCTCAACAAAATAAATGTATTTTAAAAAGGATTCCCCCCACTAAGTCTTGGTTTCTGTTTCCCAAAAGGCATATTTTTCTCATAGTCTTTGCTGAAGTCTAGTCATTATACCAAACACCCAAGATGCAACTCAAGCTTTTCGCTTCCATGTAGCTTTTTAAAAATTCAGTATTCAAAGAACATCAGACATAGGAAACCATCTAGAAGTACATTCTTATTGTTGAGGTAGGGAAATAAGGCTTAATGACCCTAAACACCTTGCTGGGATCAGAACACCCAAAACCCTAAGTTCCCATTCTAGAGCTCTTCTCATCATATAAGAAAATCAGTTTTATTAACTACCACATAAATTATTTAATGTTTGTTTACTGTGAATAATTAATTAATTATAAATTTTCTGAACAGGGCTGGGAAGCTTCATTTTACTACTATGAGATGTGGTAAATAATTTAATTTCCTGGAGTCTTGGTATCCCCATCTGGAGAAGAATGTTTTATTTATTTATTTTTAATTATTTCTTTATAAAGATTTATTTAAAAAAATTTTATTTATTCATGCATACAAGAACCCGGGTACAGGCCAGATGTGCGGGAGGGTGAGGGGATTCACCAGAGACAGAGTGGGGAACAAAACAGGCAGATTGAAATACACTCCTGAGGGGAGGCAGAGGGCCAGACAGGAGAGGTCTGCTGCGCCTTGTGTGGGTATCTCCGCGGCCGGCAGGGATCAAATCTGTGCTGCAGATAGCTTCGAAGTGCTGCGCTCAACCACCTGTGCCACCAGGGAGGTCCTAAAGATTTATTTTTATTTATTGATGCATACAAGAACTGGGGTGCAGGCCAGAGGTGGGGGGTGGTGGGGGTGGAAGTGGTGGTGAGAAGATTCACCAAGACAGAGCGTAGAGCAGAACAGGTGCAGCGGCCGAGACAGTAGTGGTCTGCTGTGCCCTGTGGGTTAGCTCCCTGGTGGGGGATTGAACTCATGCCACAGTGGCTGGTGATAGCTTAATAGTGCTGAGACTTAACCCTGGTGCCATTAGGGAGGCCCTGGAGAAGAATGTTTTATGGGCCTGTAATAAACATAGCTTCCCAACTTGCAAAGCTGGCTTTGAAAATGAGCACAAATTAGAAAGGAAAATTTTGTATTATTTTAAATTCCAGATTGCTTGTGAAAGAATTACCAAGGCCTTCCAAGTGGTGCTAAGGGTCAAGTTTCAGCACTATCAAGCTATCAGCAGAGTTAGATCCCTGGCCAGGGAGCTAGCCCACATGGCACAGCAATCCTCTCTTGTCAAGGCTGCTGCTCTCGCAGCAGTGTATTTCAGTCAATCCGCCTGTTCTGCTTCCCACTCTGTCTCTGGTGAATCTTCTCATCCTCCCCGCACCTCTGACCTACACCCCAGCTCTTGTATGCATAAATAAATAAAATAAACCTCAAAAAAAAGTTTCCAAAGTGTTTAAGTTCTGTGATTCCACCCTCAGAGAGACTGATTCACTATTTCTAAAGTGAATATAGGAATCTGCATTTTCATGATGAAAGGGCTAATTTAAGAAGAATGTAGAAAGCTCACACAAGCAAACCATGAATATTAATAGTATGAATGTCCACTATTCCAAATTAAGACCACTCCAAATATATTAAGATAGCCCAGAGCAGTGTTATTAGAGAGCTATATGTAAAAGGCACCTTTTTCATTACTTTTGAAACACATTCAGCAACCCTACACTGGTGATTTTTTTTTTTAATTTACTTTCTGTTTTTAAAATAGATAATATATTCACATAGCAGAAAACTCAAAGGGATCAGCCGGGTCTCCAAGACACACCTGGTTCCTCGATCTAGAAATAATCAGTTTTTACCAGTTTCTATTTTTTAAATCATGTACTCTTCTAGAGAGATCTATGCATCTATAAGCAGATGTGCATGTATTTTCTTAAACTATATAAATGACAGCACACTACACACTTTTCTGCAATTATCACCTGCCTGCCCACCCCCCGTCTTAATATGTATTGGAAATTGTTTCATCATGTCTTTACTTCTAAAAATACTAGCATAGATTTCCATAATATGGATGTACATATTCATCTAATTGTGAAACTTTAAAATATGCAGCCATAGGCAGGTTCGAACCACAGCTTTAATAATAAAGTCTTACCTGTATCAGTAAATGACTGTATATCATATGTCAGGTCTATGTTAACACTTTCTGCATTTTCTACTCTCCGAAAAATTATTCCGAGGAACCACATTGATATATAATTATTGCTATAAAGTAAAATTTAAGAATTTCCATTAATTTGTTACACTTTTACAGATGTTATTTGGTAATTAGTAATTAAAATTAGGTCTCTAATGAAGGTTAAATACAAATTTCAATGTTATTTTCAATACAAGTTAAGAATGGCCAAATTCTCAAAACTGACATCCAGGACACAGGTAAGATATCCTGTGTTGTTATAAAGAAGATTAAGTGGATTGAAATGACTTACTAAATACATAATTAAAAATGCTCCAAGTATTGTGATAAGAGCTTTGGGTAGGGTTCTGTGGATTACCAACATAGCAGGTACTTAGTTTTAATGATAACCACTCATACTCAAAATATAATGTATTATCCCTCCATCAATGCCTGTTAAATAATAATCTCACAACTGATCTTAATGCATATATCAAGTAACATTATTTAAGAAATATAATGTTAAAAATAGTTAACTTACTCTTTATGATGTTCCTTATTTCCTGGGAATGACTGGGGATTTACATGGGCAAGAGTAATAAATTCATTCCGTTCCAAGTTTCCAACAAGTACACGTATTTTAGATTCTACTAATCCAACCCTAAAATAAGACAACAGACAAGATTCTTCCATATTAAATTTGGAGCTACATCCAAGTAAGTCAAGTAACATATTAGCTCTGCCGCCCTATGTTTCATCAATTTTTTTAATTCAACATATTAGAGACTATTTAAAAGTTTAAATGATATAAGCCAATGCTGATTCAATTAAAAAAAAAAAAACAAACTACAAACAATAAAAGTAAATTACAAAAAACTAAGGAGTTTGTGTTTTCCCTTAAGAAGAATTACCTTAGGGAACTCCCTGGTGGCCTGGGGATGAAGTCTCAGCACTATCACTATGGCTTGTGTTCAATCCCTGCCAGGAAGCTAAGCCACATGTGGTGCAGCAGATCTCTCCTGTCTTACCTGCTGCTCCCCTTAACAGCGTATTTCAGTAAATCTTCCTGCTCTGCACCCCACTCTGTCTCTGGTGAATCCTCTCACCAACACCCACCCACCTGCACCCCAATAATTCTATGAGTTTAAAAAAAAAAAAAAAGCACTTCCAGTCTAAAATATCATGCCTTAGTGAAGAACCTAAAATATTAATTTCTGGGCCTCCCTGATGGCACAGCGGTTAAAGTCTCAGTGCTATCAAGAAATTGCCAGCCACTGCGGCATGAGTTCAATCCCTGGCCAGGGAAGTGACCCACATGGAACAGCAGACTTCCCCTGTCTCACCTGCTGCTCTCCTTCAATGTATTTCACTAGTTCTGCCTATTCTGCTCCCTACTCTGTCTCTGGTGAATCCTCTCCCCCTCCGCACCTCTGCCAGCACCCTAGTTCCTCTGCACAAAAATAAATAAATCTTTAAAAAAAAAAAAAAAAAAGGGGGGCCTCCCCAGCGGCACAGTGGGTTGAGCGCAGCGCTGTGAAGCTGTCCACAGTCTCTGCAGCACAGGTTCAAATCCCGGACAACTAGGGAGATACCCACATGGTGCGGCAGGCCTCTCCTGTCTCGCCCACTGTTCCCCTCAGCAGCGTATTTCAGTCAGTCTGCCTGTTCTGCTCTCCACTCTGTCTCTGGTGAATCCTCTCACCTTCCCGTGCCTCTGGCCTGTACCCCAGTTCTTATATAAAAATATATAAATCTTAAAAAAAAAAAAAGGGCCTCCCTGGTGGTGCAAGGGTGTAAGTCGCAGCACTATGAAGCTATCCATAGCCACTGCAGCACAAGTCAGAGCCCCAGTCAGGGAGGTGACCCACATAGAGCAGCAGACCTCTCCTGTCAAGGCCACTGCTCCCCTCAGCAGTGTATTTCAGTAGTTTCGCCTGTTTTGCTCCTCACTCTGTCTCTGGTGAACCCTCTCATGCCCAACCCCCCAACCCCACCATACCTCTGGCCTGTACTCCAGTTCATGTATACATAAATAAAACTTTAAAAAATAAATAAAAGTAGCCCCAGATAACATATAAACAAGGGTGGCTGTGTTTCAATAAAACTTTATTTATTTTTTAAATATTTATTTATGCATACAAAAACTGGGATGTAGGCCAGAGGTGTGGGGATGGGGGTGGGGGGGGTGAGAGGATTCATCGGACACAGTGGGGAGCAGAACAAGCAGATCTACTGAAATACACTACTGAGGGGAGCAGTAGGCTAGACAGGAAAGGTCTGCTGTACCCTGTGGGTTATTCCCCTGGCCGGGGATTGAATTCGGTGCTGCAGCAGCTGCTGATAGTTTCATTGTGCTGAGACTTAACCCCTTGCGCCGTCAGGGAGGCCCAGGTGTTAAAATTCTTGAAGCAAAAATGAATACAGTATTTGAAGCCGGACATGTCAATACACTGGACATAGAGGGAATAAATTTAGATGCAGTAGAAAGAAGACACCACTCCTTAACCAAAAATATCTGTTGACAGAAGCTTGAAAATTCTGAAACCTTTCATGCCATCATCCACTAATTAAAAAAATATTAAAATGTCTGTTCCTTCCAGTTTTGATGGGGAAAACATTATGGCAAGAATGGAAAACTCAGTGAGAGGCTAGGCAGAGGAATAATCCAAGCTGATTCACAATTTTGCTTAGACTCAAATCTGACAAACAAAAAAGACAAGAGCCACACATCTATCCTTATCTCATGTCACTCCTTAGTCTGAAATCTTAATTTGATGCTATTTCTTAAACACTGACACTCCATGATTACGTACAACAGCCACTAATCTGACTTAATAATCTTGAAAACTAAGGGTCTTTCATAAATGTCAAAGTACAATATAAACATGTTACCACCACAGAGTAAGTAGAAAACTTAAAATTTAAGTCTTACCACTCTAGATGGTTTTCTTCTGTTGATGCACTGGCAGTCAATACTATGTAATGTCTATGAAGAATTTTCAGCAACAATTGGGAAAAAGTCAGAAACATTGTTAGGTCCCACCTTTCCATCATTATTTTTTCTCCCTCCCAATGAACAAAAAACTCATGTAGACACATAGTTTATGAAAATTAAAATGTGCTCCTGCTTTCACAGAATTGTAGACCCTGCAATCAACAGTGCACTAAAAACAAAATACCTACTCATATTGGGTTAGATACTACTAGAATACAGAAACTCATAGCTTAGGATTTCTGCTAAGCTATTCTCTACCTCACTTGAAATGCAGTGACAACTGTCATCCATCATTCATTATTAACTTTTTAAGTTTAACATTCTTCTTTAAACATACACACAAAATAAAGAAAATTTCAAATACCTATACTTTTGGAAAAAATTTGGTGGTTCAAGCAGTTTGGACCAATCTGATTTCCCTTGAAGAATTTCATCTGTGACTGCAAGACCTAAATTAAAAAAGAGAGATTGATTTTGAATAGTGACCTTACATTGTCAACTTCTCTATCACCCTACTCCCAAAACTTCTCACCCCATCAATTTCTCGAATTAAAAAAAGGTATAAATGTTTTATGTTCTTGGGGCCTCCCTGGTGGCTCAAGGGGTTAAGATGCAACCTATGAAGCTATCCGCAGCCACTGTAGCACCAGGTTCTAGCCCCCCGGCTGGCCAGGGAGCAACCCACATGGTGCAGCAAACCTCTCCTGATTTGCCCGCTGCTCTCCTCAGCAGTGTATTTCATCAGTCTGCTTGTTCTGTTCCTTGCTCTGTCTCTGGTGAATCCTCTCACCTCCCACACCTCTGGCCTGTACCCCAGCTCTTGTATGCATAAATAAATCTTTTAAAAAAAAAAGTTTTATGTTCTTTTTCAGAACACAAAAATCAATTTCTACCAGTTTGGGCTGGCTCTATTTTGGGCTTTAATATCATATATTTTGGAAAACCAAACATTTGAAAAAACAAACATTTGAAGAATTTTTAGAAATAATAGGTGATATAACTTTAACTGCCAATCCATAGAGAATAAAACTGTCAACCAAGATCTTGTGGGAATATGTAAGGGGCAACAGGGCCAACAGGTTTACCTTGTTTAAATTCTTCTACCATTACTGTTCGAGTTGATGTGGACACATTATACGTAGAATTCTGTTGTGGGTAGGCAGGGGTGATTATGGGCATGAGATGATACCTATCTGATGGATTTACCTGTGAAATTAGAAGCAGAATAATTGATCTATTCTCCTATTTCAGTTGTCCTCACTTCATTTCCCCAAAAGTCTGAAGAATATGAAATATAAATTTAATACTACATCTCCTCAATTCTAAGAAGCACATTTCCTCTCCCCAACTACATTTAAAATTTCTTAAGTCAGCTAATCTGACAAAGTCAAAGAAAATTCTGTAGAAGTTTATTTTTCCCCTAAGAAGCTACTGAGTTAACGGTGTACATTATAAAAAAATGGTTGTTCAGAACCAAGGAAATCCAGTAAGCACGGCTGCCAAGGGATTATTGGGTCCAACAGTTCTCAGTCCTCTTTCTGCACCCACTCAAAAGAGGACTTCCCCTGAGTGACTTAGAACGAGCACTCACTCTAAAAGCAAATTAAAATGCAAGGTAAGTATAAGTTATGCTATTTGAAACCATGAATCTGCTTTAAATTCTGCTGCAAAATTAATCGTAACATTATCAGTAACTAATTACTTGTAAGAGTTGTTAGTGGGTTATGACATTTTAGTTAATATACCCACTCACAGTCTTACATGGATGATTTTTAATGATACATTTGGATCGGAATTGGAAATACAAATCATCTGGACCAAAAAATAAAGCAGGAGAAGGAAAAGCACTGTAGTTATACAGACGGAAGATGATCAGGGACAGGCAGAATTATTTTCAAGTGGATTGCAATTTAGAGGAACGTCCTTTTCCTAAGAAAAGGAAATTCTTTAATAAGTCACATACCCGAGGATCCCAAACTGGCAAATTCAAATTGCTTTCTTCTGGTTGCTTCAGCAGCACAGGATTTGGCCATTCCCTAACATGAAGAAGGCATATTAACTCACATAGGACCTCACTTCATATATACTATACGAAATGTTATAATCATTAAGACTGTTTCAATTTTCATACGGTAAATGTTTTGGTTATTAGGTATTGAAAAAAAAGAAGAAATGGGTAAGAGAATGAAGTACACAAAGGAAAAAGCTGGTTATTTTCAAGCAGTGTTCTCTGAAAGGGCAAATACTATTTTGCTTATCAACTATAATGAAATTACACAAATTTTTCCCTTCTTATTTGCATTTATGGATTTAATGCTGATTTATTAACACCATCAGCTAACATTTACTGAAAATACTTATAACAAATCCATGCAGTAGTGATGATTATTTTCTCCGTTTTATATATGAAGAGATAGTAAACAACCTCTACATTGCTAATAATAGGCAGAGCCAAATTTATTATGGTCACTCTCTCAAGCTAAAGGCCCACCCATACAGACTCCTAGAAAAATTGCTGTACCTGGTGGCCCATCACTGCCACAGATGTGATGTTTTTAAATTTTGTACTTCACAAAGAATGTAAAAAAACAGAAAAGGTCTATGTATAGCTCTTACATTTCCAACAAATTTATATATAAGTAGAGCTTAGCAAAATTATGCATATAAATACTTACCACTTGGAAAAAACTAAAAAGAACTTATGAACTAGGGTAGAAGCTGCTGCATTCGGATACAACTGGCAAGTTCTTGCAACTAGCATTGCCCAGGAAACACCACCAAGGAATCCCAACATGTTGGAATAAATACCACGTCCTAGGAAATCAATAATATCTTTGTTATTGTTAGGACTTACCATCCATGACTTCCAACCATAAGGAACAGTATAACTTCCTTCCTTATGCTGTTGTTAAAACTCTTCCCTTATAGGAACAACATTAAAATAAACAAGCAGTCTTTCATAGAAGGTACACTGTCTTATTAGTGAAGCAAAAGCTGTTCATATTACTCTCTTGGCTTACTCTTCCAATACAGACACCTCAGTTTCCTGCCTCTGGTCTCACTGCCCAAGTGGGCCCTACTGATACAACACAAATTTCCCTCCTCTCAATATCTGTGGCTGATAGAGAAACGAAAGGAGGAAAGATATCTGGAGAGTTTACAAGTAGGAAAAATAAACATTTAATTAATAATCATATCTGTGGGAAAACTGAAGTGTAAAGTTGGGGACTAACCAGTATTCTTCAGAATTACCCACCTCTCCATAAAGTACAATATACCATTAATATTACTCACTTTTTTATAGCAATCTATAAAATAGCATACCATATTTTATCAAATCTAAGATGTCCTTAATACATTATATAGCATTATTCTACATCCAGCTAAGAGGAAAAAAAATAGGAAATCTCCAATTTGGCTATGACGAATGTGAAAAATATGCATCTGAAAAATGACAAAACATGGTATATAATTTAATCTGTAAGGTAAGACAAATTGCTTATGTTGTCTTTTCATTGCAAATGACCTTCTCCTGGGCCTCCCTGGTGGCGCAAGGAGTTAAGTCGAAGCACTATGAAGCTATCTGCAGTCACTGCAGCTTGAGTTTGATCCCTGAGTTTGATCCCCAGCCAGGGAGCTAACACACATGGTATAGCAGACCTCTCCTGTCTTGCCCACTACAGCCCTTAGCAGTGTATTTCAATCATTTTGCCTGTTCTGCTCCCCATTCTGTCTCTGGTGAATCCTCTCCCCTCCTACCACACCTCTGGCCTACATCCCAGCTCTTGTATGTATAAATAAATCTTTAAAAAAACAATTACTTTCTCCTGACCTTTACAAAACTCTTGAGGCTAAGGACAAATTTTATTGATTTTAAAGTCTTTTTAGATGTCCAATATGGTGGTCACATGTGGTTAAATTTCTGTAATAGTTTTATTATCACTCACATACCATGAGATTCACCCATTTAAAATATAAAAATCAGTGTTTTTTAGTATATTCAGAGCTGTACAAGCATCACCATTATAAATTCTGGAATGTTTAAAACATCTTTAACAGTCACATCCCTCTGATTTACCCCTAATCCTCTCATACCTAGGTAATCATTACTTGACTTTTTAGACATGCCTATTCTGAACATTTCACATAAATGGAATTGTACTATATTTAGTCTTTTATGACTGGCTTCTTCCATTTACTGCTATGGTTTCAATGTTCAGATATGTCATATCATGTATCAGTATTTCATTCCTTTCTATTGCCAAGTAATATTCTACAATACGGATATACCACCTTTTGCTTATCCATTCAACAGTCGGTGGACATGTGATTGATTCCACTTTTGGGCTATTATGAAAACCGCTGCCATGCACATATGTTTATGTGGATATATGTTTTCAACTCCTTAATTTCTCGGGTACACATTTCAAGAGCTCAATAGCCACCTTGCTACTGTACTGGACAACAGATATGAAACATTTCCATCATCACAGAGTTTTACTGGAGTGTACTGTTTTAGATTATGTAAAACCTGTGCTAGATGTGCAGCACTACTTACATGTAGCTACAAATAACACAAAATGTGCTATGCCAGAGCATGACTGGGCCTTTTATGAACCATATGCTGAACACACTGGTATAGTTCCAGGACTCATTAGAAGAGTGTTATAAGGTAAAAACAAACATAACTGGGTTGTCAAAAAAGTCATAATGTATTTTTTCTGTTTTTCAAGCAAAAATACATCATGACTTTTCTGACAACAAGTATCACCATAGGCTCTTCATTTAATACATTTATTGAATACCTATTACAAACTGGACTCTTTCCTGGTGATGGGGAGACAAATACAAGTAAGACAGTCCTGCCCACTGAGAGGGCTGAAGACCAGTGAGGGTTTCACTCTAAGTTCTAATTCATTCTAACTGCCTGGCTGAAATGGAAGATGGAAAGTCAGGGTTTTCAATTTTCACCCAATAGAGGAGGAGATAGAGTCACATCAGAGCACACCTAAAAGAAACAGCTTCTCCAAAACTTATTGGACCTCAATTCCCCGACAGTATCAATATGCTCAAGAGTTCCCATATATGCTTCTATCATTAGCAACTAAAAATTGCAATTTCATAATGTAAACATAAAAGACTTAGGATACTTACGTTTTGCCCATAACTTGACTGCTCTTAGGGTGAGTCTAAAAGTTTCTTTATTTGGCACTAAATGCAAAATTTCATCAGTAACTCTACATCCTAAAAAAAAAAAAAAAAAGCATTCTTTTATTATGCTACAAAAGCCAGTTAATTCCAATACCCTTCTAACTTTCAGATTCTTAAATGCTAAGAATTATAAGGTAATAAAATACACTGGTTTATTTTCCTTATGTATTTGAAATTTAGCACTTACATATGAGAAATCACTTGCTTTTAAAGAATTGAAAAGCATACAGGCAATGCAATCAGTATTAAAATAAGAGATGGGTCTGAAAATCTTTTTAGCTTTCTCCTGCATTTTACTTTACTGTTAATCAAAAGCCTCCAAGTTATAAAAAAGTTATTGCTTTAATGCAAACCTTATCCACAAATATTGTGGCTTACTGTTGCACCACAGAGTGCAGTAAAATGCCAAATACTTCTGTTAAACAAGAGACTATAAACTAGTGGTTCTCAAAGTGCAGTCTATGAACCCCTGGGAATCTGTTAGGTCACATCCATTACTCTAATTATACTAAGACTTTCCTTGCCTGTTTCACGGTGTTAACATTTGCACTGAATGCAAAAGCAGTGGTGGATAAAACTGCTGCTACCTTAGCAGTGAATCAAGACTATGACCAAAATCTTATTAGCAGACAATATCTTCACTGTCACATGTTTGCAGCTAGGAAACAGAAAAGGAATATATACAATGTTTGAGCATGTCCTCAGTAACATGAACTACCTGCTTTTTTCAAGTTAACATCAGTTTTACTTGAAAGCATGTTTGACAAACCGTGGCTATTCATATGAAAGTTAGCAGATGTCTCCTAAAAAAATGAATAATGTGAGGGCCTCCCCGGTGGCGCAGCGGTTGAGCGCCGGGTTGCGAAGCTGCCCGCAGCCTCTGCAGTGCCGGTTCGATCCCCCGGCTGCTCCCCGGCCACCAGAGGAGGGTCCCACATGGCGCGCAGACCTCTCCTGCCGCCCGCTGCTCCCCTCAGCAGTGTACTTCGGTCCTTCTGCCTGCTCTGCTCCCTGCTCTGGCTCTGGTGAATTCTCTCACCCTCCTGCGCTTCTGACTGTACCCAGTGCTTGTGTAAATAAATAAAAAAAAAAAAAAATCTTAAAAAAAAAAAAAAAAAAAATGAATAATGTGAGCTCCTCACTTCAAAGAAAACAAATGACAAGATATGTTGCCAATAATAAAATTTAAACTTTCAAATAAAAATTAAGATTTTTGGATAACTAATATCTGCTACTGTGAGCTTGACAGTTTTACAATATTTGACTTTTGTGATCAGACTGATTGGTGGTGATGTTAATATGATTTTTGGAATAACGTATAATGAAATAAGTGTTAACATTTAGAAAATACAAATAACTTTGTGAACCTGCATTTTCCAAACAACCAAGGCATTACTGTACAAAATTATACATGAGTAAAATATCCATTCAAAGAACAAGACAGACCAATGGATTTTTAATTTAACATTAAGTGACATAGTTTTAGATCTAATTAACCTTTACAAAAGCGTCACTCTTATTCAGCAATAAAAGGAACAAGTTACAAAAAAAAGAAATACTACAAATGTGGATGAGCTTCATAAACATTAAGCTAAGTGAAAGAAGTCAGACACAAAAGACCACAAATTGTATTAGCCCATTTATATGAGATGTCCAGAAAAGGCAAATCTATAGACAGAAAGTAGATTAGTAGTTGCCTGGAACTGGAGGATTAGAAAGTGGAATGACTGCAAATGGGTTATGAGGGATCTTCTGAGGATGATGAAAATGTCCTGAAATTGTGATGTGGTGCACAAGTCTGTGAATATACTAAAGATTATTAATAACTATACACCTAAAAAGGATGATTTTTATGGTATGTACTCATAGCTGTTAAAAAGAAAAAAGAAAATGTCACTGGTCAAATTCTCCTGTAGTATCAAAAGGGTACTAAAATAATTTTTTTTCAATTACACATATTTAGAGGCTGTATTTTCTTCCTACGCTTCAAGCAAAACAAAATATTACAAGACTGACTATTAATTCAGATATGAGACTATAGCTGTCTTCTACTGTATTACTAATGTGGCAAATACTGAAGATATAACCTACATAAACAGAAGCACTTTGGGGTCCTCAAAGTTTTACAGGGCAGAGAAGTGCTGAGACCACTGTGTTTGAGAACCACTACTACAAACACAAATAACATTTTAATTTGTGTTTCAGATGTTTAAATATGGTCAAATCATCTCTGAATAAAGAAAATTACATCATTTTCAACTGAATTAGTCTAGTTTCTTAAAAAAAAAGTTCAATTTAAGTGTTCTGCAAAAAAAAATCTGTGTCTAGCTGGTGTCAAGCAGGTACCTGAGATTTCTTTTAAGAAGCTTACCATTTAAGCTGCGAATACACCTTATATCAAGGCTTCTCAGTCGAGAGTCGTCTCTTAGATCTAAATTATCTGATATGGTTTGTATTGCCAGTCTTGCAAAAACTAGATCAATCTTTGAAAAGATGCAAAAAAGGAGAAAATATTACCTTTTCTTCTAGTCAATTCTCCCCACCTCCCCTCCTTGAAAATGTAAAAAGTTCTAATTACTGCTTTGGGAAGTTTTACTGAAACTTCAAAAGGTTCATTTAGGCAATCTTATATGGGAAAATCATTAAGTTTTGTGAGGGTAAATTTTTAAGTTAAGAGAAAGCATTTTAATTTTGGGATATATCCCAAGCATTAAAAAAAAAACAAAAACAAAAAACATCAAAACCCCATGAGTGGATTTCTAGATAAAGACAGCAGATTCAACACACATTTACATTCACTCTTTCTTGAAACCCCACTAAAATACCACCAAATGTTTTTTTTTTTTTGGGGGGGAGGGTTTGGTTTTATTTGCAACTCACGAGGACAAATACAAGGACATAATAGCAAAGACTATGAATACTAGAAAGCACATGGACAAATGGTAGGAGACCTAGCAGATTTAAGAAAGCAGAGGTAAAAATGTATCTAGGAATTAAGGACAGAAGGCTATAAACACATCCATACATAAAGAAAAGGAACACTTAAGAGAATAAGCAAGTATTTCTGGAAATTAAATATATATCAGAGGAATGGAAAACAACTGAAAGTTTAGGAAATGAGAAAACACCAAAAATCAGAAGAAAAATATGAACATAATGTTAATAAGTAGAGAGATTTAAAAAAAAAAAACAAAAACAGAAGGCAGTCCTGGAGGTTTAACATATAAATATTAGGAGTTTCAGAAAAATGAGAAAAAACAAACTCTAATAGCATTCCAAATAATTTCTCTGAAGGACAGGAGTTTTCAAACTGAAAGAGGACTACTGAGTATCTAGCCTATTGACTGAAAATACATGTACCAAAGAGTGTTGCCATGAATTTTACAACTATGAAAATGAGGGAAAAAAATAAGGTAAGTTTCTGAAGAGATAAATAAGGTCAAATACAATGAGGACTGAGAAATCAAAATGGCATCCCACTTATCAACACAGCACTGAAGCGGCCTTCAAAATTCTGAGAAACATTTCCCACCTAGAACTCTATACTCAAACTATCAATTTAATGTGAGAACAGAATAAAGACATTTTTAAGCATGCAAGATGTAAAAATATTTGCTTTTTCAAGAAGCTAGTGGGTGAGTTTTACTAAAATGAAAGTAAATCAGAAAGAAAACGCTAGAGAGAACCAAAAGGAAATCCTAGGATGATGTAAAGAAAGATGTCAAGATAGCTATATATCCGTCATATTTGTGAATAGAAACAGTTGATAATATTCAGTGAGTTATTTTTTTCAAGATGATTATGGACAAAAGCTTGAGGAATGTAAACCTATCTAGAGGAGATTTAGAAACCTGGGGGACAACCAGGTCTGAATTGGTCATAAGTATAAAAACCAAGGAAACAAAACAATTATTAACTCCCAAGAAAATAAATGGTCACACAGCAAAAATGGTAATCTGGCATACTTTGTATTCAGTTTTGAACATTATTTATATCAAAATAATGTAAACAATGGATACTGCTCAACCAAAATTACAGTACTAAGCTGTAATAATTTTAGGAGATTATAGGAATAAGAAAGGAGTGTATAAAATCATGAGGGGTAAGGATGGAGGTTGGTTTGTTTTTCATGTTGAGAAGTCAATGGTATAAGAGAGGGGAAGATGAGAGACTAAAGACCACCTGAGTCTTTAAAATGCATATCTGTGCAAGTCTGATTTAAAAAAAAATAAAGAAAACTTCATGGTTCAATTAAGGTCAGAAAAATTTTAAACACTTACTTCAATACCATCAAATTCAAATTTTATAACAGGTACAAAGGCATCTTCTACAGCCTACAAAAGAGGAAAACAATTATAACATGTATAATTCTTTCTCTACCTTCCTGTCAACACAGTGAATTGCTCCCAATTTGTATTTTTTAAAAGATGTATTTATTTATGCATGGAAGAAATGGGGTATAGGCTAAAGGAGATGGGGGTGAGAGGATTCACCAGAGATGGAATGGGGAGCAGGACAGGAGGATCTACTGAAATACACTGGTAAGGGGGACAGCAGGTGAGACAGGAGAGGTCTGCTGTGCCATGTATGGGTTAGCTCCCTGGTGGGGGATTGCGCTCAGGCTGTAGTGGTGATAGTGCTGAGACTTAATCCCTAGGCAACCAGGGAGGCCCCCAAATTGTATTTTAACTCAAGGGAAAAAGTGAAAATGTGCTTGGTCCTACATTCTAGGTAAGTTCTACTTTTTGATTGTGTAGTAAAGCCTTCAAAATTGTTATGATGCAGTTATTTAGCTTATTGTCCTCCTAAAAATATTCACTAGAAACTGGTAGATAGAAACGCTATCATCTAAGTACTATTTTTTTTTTTTGGAAGACTTACTTTTATTTATTTATACATACAAGAACTGAAGTGTAGGCCAGAGATGGGGGGTGGTGGTGAGAGGATTTACCAGAGACAGAGTGGGGAACAGAACAGGTGAATCTACTGAAATACACTGTTGAGGGGAGCAGCAGGTAAGATAGGAGAGGTCTGCTGTGCCATGTGGGTCAGCTCCCTGGCTGGGGATGTAACTCATGCCGCAGTGGCTGGTGACAGTTTGATAGTGCTGAGACTTTAACCCCTGCGCCACCAGGGAGGCCCTAACTCCTTACTATTTCTTTTTATTTTTTATTTTACAGATTTATTTATTTATGCATACAAGAGCTGGGGTACAGGCCAGAGGTGCAGGGTGGGGGGGGAGGCGGGGATGTGTGTGTGAGAGGATTCATCAGAGACAGAGTGGGGAACAGAACAGGCAGACTGACTGAAAAATAATGCTGAGGGGAGCAGTGGGTGTGACAGGAGAGGTCTGCTGTGCGCCATGTGGGTTGCTCCCTGGCCAGCCAGGGGATCGAACTCATGCTACAGAGGCTGTGGATTGCTTCATAGTGCTGTGTTTAACCCCTCGCGCCACCAGGGGAGCCCAGTACTTACTATTTCTTGAGCTTAAACTGAAAACTGATAAACTGAAAGCTGATTATTTTTAAAGAGTGCTAGTGATAGAAATAAAAACATAGATTCTGACCAACCTATCAAAACATAATACAGTAACTAGTTTGGTAGAAATGTCTTTCTGAGCCTTTCTTAATCCCCCATCTAATAAATTCTTAACTTCTCTATTCCCAATTACCACAGGTCCTTTTACCTTCACCTTATCCTACTACTTCAGACTGCACTAAATTTACATGCTTTGTTTCCCCAATCTCTCCCTCCCAGAAAAAAATGTGGTGCTTACTATTATATTTATGGGACTAAGGCCAGTATCTGACGAATCACTAGTGCTAAAATTTTATTTGAATGACTGGCTAGATATACACTTATAAAGAGTTACTATCAAACTTTATATAGAAAGGCAGGCACCATCTGATTTACATTAATCATTTATCAGACATTATACTAATAAGTGGTTTCTGTAAATTATCCCAGTAGTTCTCAAAAAAAGAAAAAAACCTTTTAAAAATCAGCACATTTTCATTTTACAGATGAGGAAACTGAGGCACAAAGCGAATAGATGACCAAAATCTAAGCACTAATAAGTAGTAGATTCTAAATTCAAACTAAGATAGGTACAACTATAAAGTCCCTGTTCTTAATCATTACATATTATTTTAACAAGATATAGTAACTTCTAAGAAGTATTTTAATAATCATAAGCCCTAGCTTTTACAATATTTGTTAACAAGTTCTAACACATTAAATATCAGAGGACACTTACTCTTAAGTTTCTAATGCCATCTTGATGTTTCAATTTTTCAAAAAAAGACTGAAAAAAATCAGATCTCTCCACATGTCTTGGAGCTACACAAAGTGCATCAATGTCAGCTCCTGCAAATCAAAGCATTTCTTATCAAGAACAGTATACTATGTATTATGTAAAAATATATACAATACATGTACAGAACAAAATATGTTGATTAGTAGTAAGATACTGGGAATTTCTTCTTCTGTATTTTCTAATTATAAAACAAATAAGAATTTGTTATTGAAACTTCTTATTAGAACATAGACAAGCAATTACCTTTGGTGTGTACTCCAAGTCGGTAAGATCCAAATGTGAAAATTTTACCACCAACAGTAGCCACAACAGAAGGTGGGAGATTCTAAAATAAAATCAAATCAAAGGCATTTAAGCGCTTAAATTATTCAGCATAAAACTCACCCAAGTGCTACTGAGATTTGTAAAAGTACTTTTGGGAATACAAAAATGAATTCATTCCCACTACATATTCACACCCCTCTAAAGAAAAACATTTTTTACCACTTGACCGTTCTTGCCTCCTCCTATCACTGTGTTTTCAGTGTCATATCCTCAGTCAATTCAGGCTCCCCTTTAGTTTCATTAATAGATAGATATGCGTCATTTCTTGATTCTAGGTTTGGAAGTTTCTTTCAAGAAAATTGGGTCATTCTTGATAGGATCGCCTTGTAAAAGTTAACCTAACAAGTTTTATTAACATCTTTTTTACTGTAGAGAATTAGAATGCTACTTTTCACCTCTCTCTAGAGCCATTTCTAACTTCCCATTAGATATTTTCACTCAGACTTTCTGATCCAATCTAATATCCAGGCCTGAAAGAAGCAAAAAAAGTTTTTCCTAGTATACAAACCCAGGTATCCTTCCTCATTTCTCTATTTTTGACCTGGGGTGGTTCACCTCTCCTCAGGCAACCTGGTGGGCCCTGATCCCAGGAGGCCACCATATTGATGCTGAACTGAGTGCAGACACCTGATCAGCATAGCTCACTTTTGCCCAGAACTCCTGGTCTCAAGCCATCCTCCTGTCCCAGCCTCCCAAGTAGCCAGGACTACAGACTTGTGCACCATGTCCAGCTCATTTCTTTCTTTCTGTTCCTTGTTTTCCATTCCACCCATACTCACAATCACCATTCTTTTTCCTGGCTTACCAATTTTTAGTTTATATCCTTACAGTATGCCCCCTTTCTATTTAGCTATCATTACCCTAACCTTAGGCTACTTAAAATTATTCTAACTTATCTGCTTGCTTTAAGTTTTTATTTTCTCATTCCATGGTGTACAAAATTCATTGGCTAATATCCTTCAATTCCTCTATAATTCTTCTGCTCAAAACTAACCAATGCATATTCTTTAAAAACTGAGATAGGATCCTTGGGCCTGCTATTGAAAGTGCCACAACAGGTTCTTAAGGATCTTCCTTGCCTTGTCTCTTAATCTTCCCTTCTAAAGTTTCAGCTGCAAAGACTGTTAACATAATCTGTCTTTTTTCCATTGCATTTGCCACTGTCCCTGCCTGGAATGCTTGACCATCCTTTGTAGGTATCTCAATATCATCTATTTCTCAAAGTTTACTTCAAGTTCTATATCCCCTTCTGTGACACTCTACCCCTGCCAACCTGGCTCTATTATCTTTAACCCCTTTTAAACTACATTTATCAATCCTTTTTTTTTTTTCCTGTTTATAAGTCTCATCTCTTCAACTATACATTCCTTTAAGATGAAAATTGTGTCCATCACTTCTCTTATTTCTCCACATCTAGTGCAAGTTATAAAGAATAGTATCTGCTGATTACCTTGGATAAAAGTATCTGTATAACGGGATATCATGTTTGTTACTTCCTCTGTTTATTTTTTATTTTTGTTTCTTTTTAAAAAATATTTATTTATTTTGCAGAAGAACTGGGGAGTAAGCCAGAGGTGCAGGGGGTGAGGGGATTCACCAGAGACAGAGTGGGGAGCAGAACAGGTCAATCTACTGAAACACACTGCCGAGAGGAGCAATGGGCAAGACAGAAGAGTCTGCTGTGCCATGTGGGTTGGCTCCCCGGCCAGGGATGGAACTCAGGCTGAGGCGGTGACAGCTCAGAGTCTTAACCCCCAGGCCACCAGGGAGGCCCTATTTCCTCTGTTTAATGACTATTAATGTTTTAAGAATGTCACATGGGCCTCCCTGGTGGCACAGCGGGTTGAGTACAGAGCTGTGAAGCTGTCTGTAGCCTCCGCAGTGCCGGTTCCATTGCCGGCTGGCCAGGGAAAATCCCACATGGTGAGGCAGACCTTTCCTGTCTCGCCCGCTGTTCCCCTCAGCAGTGCTTTCAGTCTGTCTGCCAGTTTTCTTCCTGCTGTCTCTGGTGAATCCTTGCACCCTCCCGCAACTCTGGCCTGTACCCCAGCTCTTGTATAAATAAAAATAAATCTTAAAAAAAAAAAAAGTGTCACAAATAATTTTACAGCTAGGAACAAGTCAGTAAACATATTAGTAACTAACATAAATCCAAAAGATAGGAAGTCAGGATATTTTGGTCTAAGTATATTTTTAGTTTACCTTTGTGCATTGAAAAAACATGACTCTTGCATGACTTATGAGAAAGTGATATACTGAATCAGAGAGTAAAATAATTTCCCCAGAAAAATAGAATTTAAATGATTTTTTTAAATAGAGGCATGTTTTTATTTATTTATTTATTTTTGTTTATACAAGCACTGGGCACAGTCAGAAGCGCGGGAGGGTGAGAGAATTCACCAGAGCCAGAGCCGGGAGCAGAGCAGGCAGAAGGACCGAAGTACACTGCTGAGGAGAGCAGCGGGTGGCAGGAGAGGTCTGCGCGCCATGTGGGACCCTCCTCCGGTGGCTGGGGAGCAGCCAGGGATCAAACCAGCGCCACAGAGGCTGCGGGCAGCTTTGCAACCCAGCGCTCAACTGCTGCGCCACCGGGGAGGCCCTAAATAAAATGATTTGACTTGAGATTCTAGACTATTTAAAGTTTATATATATCCCACTTCAGGAAATGACCTTTGAACTAACAAATCCTTCAGATATCTTCCCCAACTGTAATATGAAAATAAATGAAATTTAAGAAATAAATGAAATTATAATTGACACCAAAAATGACCACCATCTTATCCATGCAATGGAAGATGTTATAACCAATTTTTTTTTTTTTTAAATTCATGGCTTGCATCTCACCAACTTAGAATTCAACTTTCCTGAAAACCTCAACTATTGATAATCCTGCTAAGAGCTCATAAAAGAGCCAGATAGCTTTTTGGTAGCAAAAACAAAAAACAAAAACAAACAAACAAAAAAAAAACAAAAAATACAAAGAACCCCAGCAAAAACACCAGTAATTTACACTCACGGACAGTTTTAGGAGAGAGTCCCTCATGAGCTTATTCAGAGCCCAGTGTTTAAAAGAACAAGTTCTAAATATGTATCATAGATACAGAAAGAAATAAGTTGTGAAAGCAAGTATTTTAACAGGTATTTAACTAATTTCTAAAATCATGCAGATATTAAGGAGATAGAATGGGAATTTAAATCAAGTAACACTGACTATTATGAAAGATTAACTTTCAGCTGACAGCTATTAAGGGAGAGCTAACACTGAAAAAACAAAATACAACAGTTTGAGCCACTTAATGAAGGAGCAAACAAATTACCCAGTTGAGCATGTCCTACCTCATTTTAGTATAACCTGTAGCGATGACTTTCAAATGAATGAAAATCAACTATATTCAAAATACTCTAAGAAAGCCAAAAAAAAAAAATATATATATATATATATATAATCAACTATAAAGGAAAAATAATTATGCTACTGGAGGGGGAAAAAGCTGTATAGTTATAAATTGGGATTTGCAAACGTCTATGTTTCAGGAGCCAGGTGGGTACAAAAATGAAATTGCACGTAAAGGAAAGACAGAAACTCATTGATATATGACAGCTGTCTCAGAGAGAAGGCAGGAGCCCAATTCATGCAAGCTCCTTCCTGCCTGTCACAAGTGTTATCAGACCTGCTATTTCACTAGAAGTCTGAAATTTGGCTTAAGTAAAATTTCTTGATATTTAAATTTTGGTTCAGTATACATGAGTTACCCAAGACCTTTATGGAAGTTGTAGGCTGACACTGGTTATCTCTGGAATGACACTGGCTATGTCTGGGGTAAATCCTCATTTAGAAGAGCCTCAGCAGTCTAGAACAATTCATTACCAAATATACCTGACAGACAAGTTTTAATGTATTTCAGATTATTCAACTACTGCATCTTGCTACTTATTAGACTTTGACTAATGATCAAGACATAATGAAAGTATGAATTCAATGTAGTTTAGCGTCTTACCTTACTCTCACTGACATCAGAAATCCATTCTTTTACTAAATTGTTCAATTTACCAAGAACCACCAGCCTATAATAAAAAATAACATGCCTTAGATGAAAAGTAAAACAAACAAAAAACCCAAGTAATTAAACATATAAGTTGTACCTTTGTGTTGGTGCTAGAGTAAAAGCATTTAACATACATGCTAATGCTATCATGTCTGTTGATACATGGCACATCTCTTTGGCATTCTGAACTCCCTAAGTGTTCCAAAGAGACGATAAATGTAAAGATAATATCTTTGAGTTATCTTCAAAATTCAAGAAGCCTAATAAAAAATCAAAATTACCTTCAATAAGACTGCAGAGGCCAGCTGAATTGTCAACTTTCCTGGCCTTACTATGGAATAAAATCAATTCAATGTGGTAATGACAACAGAGGTTAGCATTCTTTCACTGATAATCATATGTCTTTAGTTAATTAAAATGGATAAATTAGTTATTGGCTAATGTTTATGAAATACTATTACTTAATAAAAGCAATTTGGTTTAAAAAAAAAAAAAACAAACAAACCCAATGGCATGCCCAGACCCTCATTTTAAGAAAATATTCATCTCAAAGACACCATGTGCAAAACAGAATTCCTGAGGTGTTCAGACTTGTGTCTCCTTAGTCTTCCCAGATAATGGAATTCCATCCTTGAAGATGTTAATAACAAAAACCTTGGCACCATCCTTGACACCTCTGTTACATTCCAGTCATTAAACAATATAACCAGAAATCTACTAGTTCTTTTCACCTCCATCCACTTCCATCTCCCTAGTTTCAATCATCATGATTTCCTTCCTGAATTATATAATAACCTCCTTATTAATCTCCCCACTTCTGCCCTTTACCCATCTTCAAAGTATTATTAATATAGCAGCCAGAGTGACTGCTAACACATGACTCGGATCATGTCAATCTTCTGCTCAAAACCCTCAGAGTAAAAACCAAAACCTTTATAAAAGCTTATAAGGTCCTGAGTGACTTTGCTCCCAAGTTCTTTCCTACCTCACTTCTTTATTTTATTTATGCATACAAGAGCTGGGGTACAGGCTAGAGGTGTGGGGGTGGTGAGAATTCACCATAGACAGAGTGGGGAGCAGAACAGGCAGATTTACTGAAATACACTGCTGAGGGGAGCAGTGGGTGAGACAGAAGAGGTCTGTTGCCCCATGGGTGTTAGCTCCCTGGCCAGGGATCAAACTCATGCTGCAGTGGCTACGGATAGCTTCATAGTGCTGTGACTTAACTCCTTGTGCCACCAAGGAGGTCGCCCCACCTCACTTCTCTAAGCCCATATTCCTCTGCTTTCTTATTTTGCTTCAGACACCCAGGCTATATTGCTATGTATTCTTTAAATATACCAAGTATACTCCTATGTCAGGCCTTATACCTAGAATGATCTTCTACTTTTAGCTCTGTCCCTCACCTTCCAACTTTCCCTTAAACATCACCATCTCAATGAGGCCTTCCTCTATAACTTCCACTCCCAGTTTATTTTTCTCAGCATTTGTCATATGTAACATTGTATTTATTTTACTTATTAGACTATTAGTCTCCTCCCCTAAATTCCACCTAAAATCTAAGATCTAAGATGGCCAAAAGTTTTCTTTTTGTCATTGTTGTATCCCTGAGCAGAGACATTGAAGGTACTCAACATGTTTGTAGAATTAATGTTTAAATAATGTACTATAACAAGTTTACATTTTCAAATGACATACCTGTGGTTCAATTCTTCCTCATCTTCAAACACTCCAAATGGTTTCATAGCATCAATTAATTTTTGTGTGTAAATATGATCAATTTCTTTAGGACATGCCAAACTAATTGGAGAGGTGATTCCATAATGTTTTTGTTGACGCTGGCTGTCCAGCACGGTGTTTCTATTTTAAAAAATGAAATAGAAAAAAAGTTTAAAGTATCATATCACACTGATAACAAAAACCTATCCATTCATATTAATTTAACTTAAAGGTTTACTGAGTACCAACAGTCAGGACAGGAACTTTTTTTTTTGTTGTTGTTGTTGTTTATACAAGCACTGGGTACAGTCAGAAGCGCGGGAGGGTGAGAGAATTCACCAGAGCCAGAGCGGGGAGCAGAGCAGGCAGAAGAACCGAAGTACACTGCTGAGGGGAGCAGTGGGCGGCAGGAGAGGTCTGCGCGCCATGTGGGACCCTCCTCCAGAGGCCGGGGAGCAGCCGGGGATCGAACCGGCGTCGCAGAGGCTGCGGGCAGCTTCGCAACCCAGCGCTCAACCGCTGAGCCACCAGGGAGGCCCTAGGACAGGAACCTTTTTATAAGGAAAAAAAGGGTATTTTTATGTTTATTTTGATGAAGGACTATTCATACTGCCTCCAGTTTTGATGGTGAGCATGTCTTTTCAAGCCAAAAGCAGCATGTGTTGGCATCAGGACAACTATGGCAACACCACTCAGCTCAAATGCAAAGAGCCTGAATGGGAGCAGGGCCAAGGCCACCTCCATTACACCCTGCAGACTTAAGTCAAGTACCATCCAGATTTGAATCTTTAAAAAGCAATCAGTCACTTGAAAGAAAGCACTAAGTAAAAAAACAATGATTTTTTTCCCCCTCAGGGAAGAAACAAAAAACATCCCACTAGAAGGTCCTTGTGGAGTATTTGGCTTTACAAAACGAAATCACAACTAGATTTGTGTGTCCTTGAGAAATCTGCATTAAAGTCAGTTTATGGCCCTAGTATTTTGTAATGTTAATTATTTTCACTTAAGCTGGTAACCCAAATCATTTTCTTACTGAAAAATTATCATATTCTTTATACTAACAGGCAACCTTTCATAGGTTGCAATATAAACAATCCTCCAAAGGATCCTAGTCATTAAGATATTATAAGACCTAAATAAAGCAAAGCATAATTTCTTAGAGTTTGGATTTACATTTACATAGATCAATAAATTCAAAACATAAAATTTGGGACCAACATGAATTGGTAAAACTTATTTTGTTAAGAAAGTAAAAGCAAACATACAATAACCAACATTCCTGACCTTCACCACGCATTCTTGAAAGATCAAACACCAAACAGTAAGAAATGTTATCTCAAAATAAATTAGCCCTATAAACATTAACACACAATATAGTAATGTTTAACTTTAACCAGTCAAAACATTAGTTTATCACTACTAAATTCATAAAGAAAGGCATCCACTTTAAAGATATGGTTAGGTAGAGGGAGAATCAAACAGAATATAAAACAGCCTGTGTATGAGCTTCCAAAATCAATCAATGACCTAAAGAACAAAAGGGAAATATCAATATTGTGACTTTAATTTCTTTCCTTATTTGTTTTTCTGTAAAACAAAATTTTAATGATTTCAAGTTATAACTTTTTAAAGGATTGATTTATTTGCTGCAAAGAGGGCTTAGAGAAGTGTTTTGGTGTTTATTGTTTATGTGTTTATATCTGGATAGCACAAACTGATTATATATGAACAATGAATTAATCTCAAGAAACCTGAGAGGAAGGAAATGAATAAGTACCATTTATAATGAAGTACCCAAGATTCAAAGAGAAAGAGGAAAAGCAGGAATTTGAACTCCAAAACCCAAGATTTTCCCACTACTCCATTTCCCTGCTATAACTATTTCAGTTCTCACACTATGATCTCCCCTCAGTTCTACTTTCTTTCCTGCATGCTGAAAAAGGTCCCCACTAGCACTAAAATTCCTAATGTTTGGTTCTGACCTCCCTCACCTCACAAGGGGTGGGGGACCAGCGAGGGAAAGCAAACAACAGAACCCAACTTCTTCAATCCATCAATTTCACTTATAGTAGACACCTTTGAGAAATCCTAGTTCAAGTGTACAAGCAGAGATGTACAAGAGAGCTCAGTGCCACAGTAACCTAGAAAACTCTGTAACAACCTAAAAAAAGTCACAACAGGAAAAGGCCTAAATTAGCGTGTATCCCTACAATGGAAGACAATATGGTAACTAATAGGAATTAAAAGGCGAAAATACTAACATGGACAAAAAGCTCAGTTACTATGTTGTATTAAAGAAGGGAGCTGAGGGATAACAAGTGTGACACTAACTATATAAAGTTTAAAAACAAGTAAAACAATGTCAGTCATGAACACAAACACGCAGTAGTAACATTTTAAAAATGCAGCAACAACAAACATCTAATTCTGGACTGTGAGGAACTCTGGGGAGGGAGGAGAATGGAACCAGAGGAGATGGGAGACTCCCATGTGTTTGGAATGCTTGATTTCTTTTAAATATATACACATAACCACTCTCATACACAGAATGCTATATTTTGGGAGCGGTGGAGGGTGGCTACCCAAATGATGCTTATGATATTCTCTGCATTTTCTGTATGTTGAAATTATTTACTAATAACCCCAAATGTAAAAAGCTACAACAAAATCTTGGCAAGCATGGACACGGTTTCTGACTTATCAAAGTGTAAGCAGGAGGTATAGTCCAGTAGATACATAGTAGGTAGGTGGGGAGGCCCCGGGGTGGGGGTGAGGGCCGAAAACACCATAGTCTATTATAGAGACGCCCAGGACTGGATAGGTCATTCAATTCTGAAGACCTGGAGACAGCCGGTCGGAAGGGAGGAGGGGGAGGTAGGGGGATGGTATTTGCGCCAATGCAGACCGGAGCCGAGACCGGCTCAGACAGTGCAGGCAGCAGGAAAGTGACTGACAATTTCTCCCCATGGACACACGCGCCTCTCCTCCTCCACACCCTGGTCTGCGGGCGTCCTCGGAGGCGGGACGACGGGGGGCAGAGGAGGGCTCCAGGAGTAAGCGAGTCGGTGCAGGGGTACCTAGTGAGCCGCCGGGTGCAGGAGAGGTGCCCTTGCCCACCGACCGAGAGCGGGAAAAGCGACCATCCGGGCGAACTCCGGGCAGGGACCCGAAGCCAGGTCCCCGGCCCACCACCACCCCAGCCCACCACTCCCGGCTTCGCTCTCAACTGCCGCCCCCCAACACGTACGCAGACATCTCTTTCATCGCTTCCTGCGTCTCCCTCTCCGGCGAGCGGCTCTCGCGGTGGAGTCCTGTTCCTGCCCTTCCCTTCTCGCCGTGTCCACTTTCCGCTAGTCGTTTGTAGCTCTCGTGCTCGCTCCCTTCCTCACTTCCTACGGCCGAGGCAGCCAACCGAATAGTGGAAACACTACAAAACCGGCTCTATTTATGACAATACAGTGCGGCCGACGCCAATATGGCGCCGCTTCCCAGCCTGCCCCTCGCCCGCCGTGGCTCCGCCCCCGGGGCTGGGCCCGCCCCGTCCCCTCCCCTCCCCCGCCCCGTCCCCTCCCCTCCCCCGCCCCGCCTTTGGGCCCGGGAGGTGCCCGCGCGGCCCCGCCCACAGGGGCGCTGAGCTCGCTGCCGGCGCTGGCCCGGCAGAGCGTTTGCTTTTCTTTGTCCGTAAGCTAGGCAGACCCCTTGGAAGGTAATTTGAAATGTCTCTTTTGGTTCTTTAATGAGGGCCTGTATCAGATCTATTAAAAAAAATCCCAGCCTTGCTTGGCAAAAAGTATATTGACTCTTCCATCATCCCGCATCTTTAATTAGTTATAGTCAAATGTAAAGTGATCAATTCACTGGTTGAGCAGATTGTCGTAAGAGGGTCACACCCAGGACCGTATGATTTACAGTTTTCCAGGCGAAAGCAAGATTGTTAAGCAGGGGCTAACTGTTCATTCACTCATCTCTTACATACCAGCCACTGATTCAGGACGTCCTGGCAGTTAAGCAAAAGAGGTGGAAGGGGAGGGATCGCCAGCCGTTTGCAATAGTGTGAGTTCAAGGCTGAAAATCTCAAGCTTTCAAATATTGCAGATCCTGTGAGTGTAAGGCAGAAAATGAGAAAATAACGACGAATTAAAAAATGTTAAAGTGTAGAGGTAATTTCAAATACAAAATCATTACAAGGAAAAACTACTTTTTCTTGAATGTGACTTGCAATCACAGTAATAGGGGGAGATTCATTCTCATTAATAATTCATTATAGAATTCATGCATTTAAAAATATGTATTGAAAACCTAATCTGAGTCAACCACTGTATTAGGCTCATAAACCAGATGTATTTTTTTTAAGTGTTTCCATGTTTTCTTTTAAGATTTATTTATTTATTTTTGCATAAAGGAACTGAGTGAGGTGTAGGCCAGAGGAGCAGGGGAGAGGAGGTGTTGAGAGGATTCATCAGAGACAGACTGGGGAGCAGAACAGGTGAATTTACTAAAATAGATGCTAAGGGAGGCAGTGGGCCAGAGAGGAGAGATCTGTAGTGCCATATGTGGGATAGCTCCTTGGCCAGGGACTGAACTCAGAACTCAGGTCATAGTGGTGATAGCGCTGAGACTTAACCCCTAGGCCACTAGGGAGGCCCAAACCAGTTGTATTCTTTAACCTTATGAAGTTCAGAGTTTAGTAAGGAAACAATCAATATTAATGATAATCTTCTGTGGTAGAACTATGACACCCTGAAGATACTTAGTTCCTGCCCTTGAGAATTCACAATCTAGTTGAGGACCACAAACATAGAAATTGTTAAAAATACAGTATGATTTGTAATACAGATGGGGTTAAGGTATTTAGGGAGGTCTAAAGAGGGCCACCTAAAATTGGAGGACTACTCAATCAATATTCCTGTAAAAGGAGATGCTGCCTAACTTAGCAAGATTTTTGAGTAGTGATTGGGTGCAGGTGGTAGGGAGAAGGCAAACCCTACTCCAGGTGGCATAGCGAGGAGCATAGGGTTCTAGTTTTGCTACTTACTAGTCTTATGACCTCAGGAAAATTAACCTTAAAAAAGACTTTTTCCGGGGGCCTCCCTGGTGGCATAGGCTGTTGAGCGCAGCGCTGTGAAGCTGTCCACAGCCTCTGCAGTGGCGGTTTTGATCCCTGCAGGCCTCAGAGCAACCCACATGGCCAGCAGACCTCTCCTGTCTCGCCAGCGGCTCCCCTCAGCAGTGTATTTCGTCAGTCTGCCTGTTCTGTTCCCCGCTCTGTTTCTGGTGAATCTTTTCACACTCCCGCACATCTGACTCATACCCGGGCTCTTGTATATATAAAAAAAGTCTTTTTCCGGACCTCCTGGTGGCACAAGGGGTTGAGTCTCAGCACTATGAAGCCATAGGCAGCCACTGTAGCACGAGTTCCATCCCTGGCCAGGGAGATGACCCACCTGGCGGAGAGGACCCACCTGGCGCAGCAGGCCTCTCCTGTCTCGCCCACTGCTCCCCTCAGCAGTTTATTTCAGTAGATCTGCCTGTTCTATTCCCCACTCTGTCTCTGGTGAATCCTCTCAACCCTGACAACTCTGGCCTACACCCCGGTTCTTGTATGCATAAATAAATAAATCTTAAAAAAAAGCCTTTTCCTCAACTGTAAAATGAAGACAGGATTGTAAGAGAATTAGGTGAGAAGAGTATGTATGGCGAATATTAATCTCAGTCCAAAAATTTTAGACATATAAGAAATAATGCTTTTTTTTGGTAAAACTTGACTTTTGACTGTAATCCAGTCATTCTTCTGAGCTGGCAAAGACAAACTTTACCATCTGGGGGTCTCCCTGCCACCCTTCCCCCCACTCTTGAGGTAATGCCCAGTATTAGGGGAGGTAGGGCAGGTAGTTCAGTGGTATCTAAAGCTATCAACGACATTTTTACATTTCTACTTATCTATCGAAAGCAATATCATAACAATTCTTTTAAATTTTCTTTTCCTTTATTTGTAGTTTGACTCCATTTTAATTCCTTTTCTTCCCATTTTCTTTCTTAAACTACCTGGGGTTAAATGCTCCACCCCCATTTCAATACAGACACTTTCAAGGAAGAATAAATGTTCCTTTGGTGTGTGTGTTTGTGGGGGGGGGGAGGTCTACATTGTAGCTGTCTTTTTAAAAGTAAAACATTTTAAATTACAGAAGTAACTTGTATTCTTAAAATGTAAGTGGTAGTCTGTTCCTCCCTTGCATCCCTAACTCCAGTTCTATTTACAAGAGGAACCATTACCAACAGCTGGATATCTGTCCTCCCTGAATGTTTTCTGTGTACTTTGTATCACATATAAAGTATACCAGAGTTATGTTTTAACTGTTTTTTGTTTTTGAAAAGCAGGATCATATTGTTCTGCTCCTTGAATTTTTTAACCTCAGTCATGAGTATCTTTCCATGTCAATAAATGTTTTGGACTGAATTGTGCCCTCCAAGATTTCATATATCAAAGTCCTAACTCCCAGTACCTCAGAATGTGACTCTAATTGGAAATAGGGACTTTAATGCAATAGTTAAATTTAAATGAGGTCATTATTGTGGGCCCTACTCCAATATGACTGGTGTCCTTATAAGAAGAGGAAATCAGGGCACAGATGGGTACAGAGAAAAGACTATAAGAAGGCGAATGGAGAAGATTACCATCTACAAGCCAAGGAGACCTAGGAACAGGCCATTTTGCTTGACCCCTTCAGGTTTCTTGCCTCCAGATTGTGAGAAAATTAATTTCTGTTGTTTAAGTCACCCACCCAATCTGTGGTACAGTACTTCTTTATGGCAGCCCTAGCAAAACAATGCAGTAAATGTATACCTTCTTTGTCCATTTAAATGATAATGTGGTGACATTTATCATAGATGATATATTGTTAAATACATTGAGCTTTTTTCCTGTTAAGTGTGTTTATATTATAAATAATGCCATAATAAGCATCCTAATATGTGCATTCCTTGTACTTGTGTCACTAGTCATTGAATAGGTTCTTTTTTTTTAAAAAAAGATTTATTTATGTATGTATACAAGAGCTGGGGTGCAGGCCAAAGATGTGGGGTGGTGAGAGGATTCACCAGAGACAATGAGGAGCAGAACAGGTGGATTGACTGAAATACACTGCTGAGGGGAGCAGCGGGTGAGGTAGGAGAGATCTGCAGGGCCATGTGAGTCACCTCCCTGGCCAGGGATTGAACTCATGCTAGAGTAGCTGCAGACAGCTTCATAGTTACGTCTTAACCCCTTGCGCCACCAGGAAGGCCCCATAATTGAATAGACTTATTTATTTATTTATTTATTTAAAAAGATTTATTTATTTATACAAGAGCTGGGGTACAGGCCAGAGGCGTGGAGGGTGAGAGGATTTACCAGAGACAGAGCGGGGAGCAGAACAGGCAGAAGAACCCAAAGCACTGCTGAGGGGAGCAGCGGGTGAGACAGGAGAGGTCTACGGCACCATGTGGGATTCTTGCTGGCCAGCCGGGATCGAACCCATGCTGCAGAGGGTGCGGACAGCTTCACAGCGTGGCACTCAACCACCTGCGCCACCAGGGAGGGCCCCATGAATAGATTTTTAATGATGGATTCACCACATCAAAGGGTATGTATATTTTAAAATAAAATTTATATATTTCAAATTGTATTCTAAGAAGGTTATACCAGTTTACACTCCAATGAACAATATGTGTGGGATGGTCTCTTTGCTCAACCCCTCACAAATGCTAGATTTTAAAAATATTTCATACTTACAAAAATTATAAATGTATAGAAAAGTAGAATAGGATAATTAAACACCAAATACCTTTCACTTAAAGATTATTTTTGCGTTTTATCATATGTTGCACCTATTTTCTTGTTGATAACATGACATTTCACTCCTAAATATTTCAATATGCATATCTAAATAAGGATAGTTTCCTGCATAACCACAATAATACCAAAATCCACGTTTTCTCCATTTGTCCTCAAAATATCTTTTAATAAAGTTTGTTCATATTAAGATCCAAGCAAGGGCCTCCATGGTGGTGCAAGGGGTTAAGTCTCTGCTCCCCTCAGCAGTGTATTTCAGTCAATCTGCCTGTTCTGCTCCCCACTCTGTCTCTGGTGAATCCTCTCACCCCCTGCACCTCTGGACTATACCCCAGTTCTTGTCTGCGTAAATAAATAAAATAAATCTTTACAAAAAATTCAAGCAAGAACTATGATTACATTTGGTTATTGCATGTCTGAAGCATATTTTACTCTAGACTAGACATCTCTCCTGTCACTTCTTAGTTCTAGCTCCTTTCTACCATTGACAGCCCTCCCTTCCCCAGCTTTTTATTTTTCCAATGACATTGACTTGGTGAGACCAAGCTAATTGTCCCCTAGAATGCTCCAATTTCTGGATTTTTCTCATTGCTTCCCTGTGGTGTCAATAATAACCCTCACATTTTCTATATACATTGAAAGTTGGATATTGATCAAGCAG